ATATATGTTGGTGTTATTGTTGTTAGCAGCTGCCAAGTTAGTCCTGCAGCCACGGTGACCTCACACCCAACAGAAAAGAAACATTGCCCACTCTCACATCATTCCTGTGGTCAGTTGCAGATCAGACCTTTGTGATCCATGTTTTTCATTGGCTGAGTTCTAGAAGTACATAGTTAGGTCTTTCTTTCTAGACCGTGTTAGTCTGGAAGCTCCATTAAAAGCTGCTCAGCGTCACAGCAACACACAGCCTCCACTGATAGATGAGTGGTGATTGTACATGTAATTCATTGGCTGGGGATGGAACCTAGGTCTCTCGCTTAAGAAAGGCAAAATCGTGATTGCTGCTCCCGTTACACTCACATACACTGAGGCCTGTGAGAGCCGGAACTCTATGGGACTGCTTTCTTTTTCTGGCTCTCACATTTTCCGCTTTTGAAAGTGCAGTCATTCTACTTTTCGATTGTTTGTTTTAGTGGAAAACATTTGAGTGTTTCTTTTGTGACAGGTTTCTGCCTCACACAGGTTCCAGTTTTCACAGGTTTTATTATGTGTGTATATACATAGATACTGTTTTCACCTAACCCTCATGATTCTTGAAGTCATCCTCAGTAGACAGATGAGGAAACAGACATAGAACAGTTAAATGAGTTGCCCAGCTAAAAATGTATACAGTTGAAAGTGTTTCAGAGTCAGAGCAACAGAAGAAGGAGAGTCAGGAATAGGAGGAGGGAATGGAATGTGGGGCTAATTGCCTCCAGGAACAACTACCTCCTCATCAGATGAAGTGGATGGTGTCCAGCTGGTGTGGCACTGTGGGTTAATGAGTGGGACTGCAAAGTCGGTTTGAACCACAGTCGACGGTTCAAGCTCACCAGTGGCTCCTCAGAAACCCTATACAGGGTCACTATGGGTCAGAACCAACTTGACGGCACTTCACAACAACAACAACTATTACTGAACATTATGATCAAAGATCCTATAGAAAAATCATGATCCAAAGGAGAAATGTGCAAAGCAGCTTTTTAAAATTCTCATAGAATCCATACTTTCTGGAACTATAAAACTAGATGAACCCCTGAAACTATGGTCCTAAGATCATCTTTAAGGAATAGTCCCTGAGGTCTTCTTGAAACCAAGTAATAGTTTAGCTTGTCTAGTAAAGAATGTCTGCCTTGACCATTATTATATGGGATTTAAGTGGTGACAGCAACTGCAAAGAGTAGCTAGGAAACTTAGGGGGCAGTGAGTTTATGTGGATGGGGGAGGAACAACTTGGAGAAGGAGGGTAGAGAATGTCGCACAACTCAAAGATGTCATCAAGGCCACTGAATTGTGCGTGTAAAAACTGGTGAATTAATTTTGTCTATTCTCAACGACAAGGACAAAAATAAAATCATTTTTTTAAGGTCGCCAGGGTTCATATTCTTAACCATGAGGCAATATGACCACCCCCATCGCCCCACCCCCAACAAACACACATGTGTGAGAGATGACCGGGTGCTCACCTAGCTGCCTTATCAGGAGACTCCCTCTTCCCCCACCGCCCCCAGAAGATTGATCACAGCTGTTACTCTGCTCACGGCAGCAGGCTGGGGAGGGTGCGTCACATGTGGACAGAGTCCTTTTATAGCCCTACCACCCCAACTGGCTCTGTCCTCTGTCACCTGACCTGCTGGTTACTCCCCACAGATCATGGAGAAAGTCCTTATTGTTCTGCTGGTTGCCCTTGTGGCAGTGGCCTACGCGGTTCCAGACCCCCGGGGAATCTTTATCAACCTGGTAAGAGGGTCTGTAAGGCAGGCAACACCTGAATCCCCACTGGGAATCTTTTAGGCATGGACCTTGGCTGACTTCTTCTGAAAGCCCCACCTGGTGCTGGCTGAGACTGGGAGGTGCGACCTCTCTTCCCTTACTGCCCATGCCGTCCTGCACCTCTGCTCAGCGGTCCCTGTAAAGGCTGACCAGCATCTCCAGGCCACTGGCCGGAGCATCTCAAAGAATGTTTCAACTTGGTGGTGAGGAGCTTTATAAACATCCAGAGTCCTGGGTTCTGCCCCGGAAACCCTGACTCAGCATGTTGCCAAATTTTAAAAGCCTCTGACCCAGGGTGGGAGGTGGGGGTACAGGCTTATCATCTCTCCTGGGGGAATCTGTTAGAACAATTTATCTAACATTCACAGAACACTTATTGTGATGTGAGTTAGTCACCATTCTAAATGTCCCAGAATATTCACTCAGTAAGTCCCTATAATAACTCTGTGAAGTAGGTATCCTTGATATTAATCCTGTTTTCAGATGGAGAGCTGAAATTGGGGAGGTTAAGCAGCCTGCTTGAAGTCATCCAGCTGAAACTTGGACAGGCTGGGCCTGGTCCAGACAGTCTGGCCCCACAGTCTGACCTTGCCCCACACAGACTCTCCATCCCACATCAGAACCAGGGAAGTCCTTTGGGGTCAACCAATTCAGAGGCTCTTAATATGGGACCCAGAATCTCCCTGAAATTACACAAAGGGAATTCAAAAAGTTTGTGGAAAAATTCCATTATCTTTTACTGCAATTTTTCCATGAATTTCATGAAGGCTCCTCATATGTTAAAACATGTGGGAAGGAAACTTTACAGGGAGAAGGTATTCTACGTTCACAGGCTTCTCAAAGAAACGTGGGGCCCAGAGAGGTTTTGGAGACCCTGTTCTTGGGCCACACATGCACATTCCAGATGGGATCCCTGAGGTAGTGACTTGTCCAGGGCCACCCAGAGAGTTGGCGGTGTGGTTGATACTAGAATCTATCTATGTGTCCTGGCCCCCAGCCCGCTTTTCACATGGACCAGCAATAGACAGTTAGGCTGCCAGACCCAGGGGTTGAATTCCTTCTCAACACCTCCACCCAGGGAGGCACTGCTATGGCAGTGGATGGCAGGGTGGGAGTCTGTGTGGGGAAGGGACTAGGAGGGTCCTGGTTGTCTCTGCAGGAAGATGGTGAGCTCTGCATGAACAGTGTCCAGTGCAAAAGCAAATGTTGCCACCGTGATACCGGGCTGAGCCTGGCCCGCTGCGTACCCAAGGCCAGTGAGAACAGCGAGTGCTCTCCCAAGGTGGGTGCTGAGGGGCTGGGGGCGGTGTAGCTAACTCAGAGGAGGAGGCCTTTGGGCCTAGGGATCCAGATCAGGGAGGAGGGTTAGAATGGTGTAGAATGTTGAGGGGAGAAGAAGGGAGGTCAATAGGTCTCAAAGCACCTTCACAGAACTGATGTGTGAGATGGCTGGGAGCAGGTATTTGTATCCCTATTTCATGGATGGTTATATAGAGGCTTCAAAGGGATCAAGTTAGTAAGAGCAAGTTAGTAAGAGCCACAACATGGAGACTAGAACCGGGGTCTCCAGAACCGCAGCATCTCCTGAGGTGGTGGTTGGGAAAAGCACCATCTGTACACAGACTAACTAGCCTTCTGGTTCTTGGGTCAGGCAGGGTGAGTGATGCCAAAGCAGCCCCCTATATCCCATGACTATTGGCTTCATGTCTCTGCAGACTCTCTATGGGGTTTACTACAAGTGTCCCTGTGAGCGGGGCCTGACCTGTGAGGTGGACATGACCATCGTGGGTGCCATCACCAACACCAACTTTGGTGTCTGCCATGACGTTGGACGCTCCAAAGAGTGAGACCACTCATCCACCCCTGCACCCAATCCAGCATGCCCCAGGATGCTTGGCCAATCTCTTCCTCCTTCACCCTACTGACCAGCACCTGTTTTCTAATTGGGTTCTTGGCAATTAAAGCCTCTCCTGCAAACCTTGCCCAGGCTCCGTGATGTTCTTGTTGTGTCTGTCAGGGTCTTCTTGAAGTTCCATCCAGCCTCTGTCCCACCAGGGCAGCCATTAAGCCAGAGGAAAAAGGGATGGGGCTATGGAGGATTGACAGGCCAGAATGGAGAGCAGAGACAAGGGTGTGAAGGAGGACCTGCTGGTTTGGGAATGTCTCCATTTCTGGGGAGCAGTCACACTTCCTTGGGATGTCCTCCTTGCCCTTCAAATTCTCAGCCACACACACACACACACACAGATGCCATAGCCAGAAGAATCCACTATGTTGACCTGGCCCCAGGGCATTGTCATCTGCTGGTCTTTCTGCACACAACCTGCCCCCTGATCTCTGCCTGGCTGCTTCCCTCTCTTGTCTCAGTCTGAGAACTTCTGAGACACCCAGCTAGAACAGTCCCTAACCACCTTGTTTTACTATTTTATAGTATTCACAACACTATGACACTCTGAAATGATCTTTGTTTAACTTTACCTTTTAAAAATTGCCTGTTAGGATTGCAGCTCCAGGAAGGCATGGAATCTCTCACCTTCTCATTCACAGCTGTAGTTCTTAGCCTCTAGGACTAAACTCCATGCATACAGAAGGCATTCTATGCATAATTGCTGGATAAATGAGAATACTTAATACTCACCTTTTTTCTCTGACCTCATCTCTGACCTCATCGCCTAGTATTTCTTCTCTCCCTCCTCCTCCTTGCTGTTCCGCGAATATCTCTAAACCTTTGTACTGCTTGTTCCTTCCACCCAGAAGGCTCTTTCTCCAGACATCTGCTTACTGTGCTCCATTGCTGCTGTCTTTGTTGTTGTTGTGTGCTGTTGAGTCAGCTCTGACTTATAATGACCCTGTATAGGGTTTCCGAGGAGCAGCTAGTTGGTTTGAACAGCCAACCTTGCAGTCAGCAATCTTTGTTGTTATTGATAAGTGCCATTGAGTTGGTTCTGACTCATAGCGACCCTGTATGCAGTTTCTGAGGCGCAGTTGGTGAGCTTGAACTGCTGATTTTGCAGGTCAAACTGACCTTGCAGTCCTGCACATTAGCCCACAGTGCAGTAAAGTCTTCCCTGAGTCTATTTAAGATGCTAACCTCTCCTTACATCACCACTCCCTATGCCCCTAAGCCCCTTCCTTATTTTATTTTACTCCAGACAACAACTGGGATATATTGTAAATTTTATTTAGTTGCCTGTGCATTGTCTGCCTCCTACTCTGGAATGTCAGTTCTACAAGGACAGAGTTTTGTCTAGCTTGCTTACAGCCCTGCCCCCATCCTGGAAAAAGAATTTACATACAATTGTTGCTGTTGTTAGTTGTTGTAGAAGGACTCTTCAACTCCTGAGGACTCTGCTGTACACAAAAGAATGAAACACTGCCCAGTCCTGCACCATCGTCCCGATTGTTGGTATGCCCACTGTGGCCTCTGTGTATTTTGAGTGACTTCCAACCTAGGAGGCTCATCTAGCATGATAGAGGATATTCTGTTGTATCCACAGGGTTTTCATTGGCTAATTTTCTGGGGGAGATTGTCAGCCCTTTCTTTCTAGTGTATCATATTTAGGAAGCTCTTCTGAAACCTGCGTATCATGAGTGACCCTGCTGACATTTGAAATACTGATGGTATAGCTTCCAGCATCATAGCAACACACAAATCATCACAGCACAACAAACTGACAGGGTGGTGATTACATATGATTGTTATTGTTAAGTGCCGTGGAGTCAGTTCAGACTCATAGCAACCCTGTATAGAGTTTTCAGCCGGGGAGGGACGTACTTGTAGAGTTCTGAGCTTCCACTAGGTCAGGATATTGCCAGCTATGGGAACATGCAGGGTTATAGTCACACTACTCCCTTCAGAATTTAAAATCTTGGCTCCACCCCTGCACATAACCTAGCCTAAGCCAATCAGCAAATTCCACTGCAGTGACTGGCTCATGAGCCGTAAGAAGACTAAGCCAATCCAATCAGAACTCATCGCAGGATGTTTGCTGAAGATTGTGGGACAGTCGTGTTTCCTTTCTCTAGAAGACATAATATGGAGATGTGAGGTGGATTCAAGGTTAAGAGCTCCATCCCTTACTAAGAAGGAAACTTTGGGCCTCAATGCCCTATCTTTAAAATAGGAACAATTACATCAGTTACCAGTTACCACTGATACAATCCCACTGACGGTGACTCCATGTGTGTCAGAGTAGAACTGTGCTCTGTAGAGTTTTCAATGGCTGATTGTTTAGAAGTAGATCTCTAGGCTTTTCTTCTGAGGCATGTCTGGGTGGATTCAAACGGTCAACCTTTCTGTCAGCAGCCAAGCATGTTAGCTGTTTTTGCATTCATTCTTCCCATAGACATTCTCACAGACACGTCCCCAGTGCCCTTTCATTCTTGTCACAGAACATTGAGACGCCGTTCCATCTCTCCCTACCACACACTCAGACACTGGCACCCAACACACACTCTCCAGGCATATTCCTTAGTTCTACCCTTCCCTCACAACCCTCTAATCCCAAGACATGACCCCTTCCTGGATGCAGTCCCCCTACCCTGTTCCTTCTTGCACTGGTGGTCCGAGACCATCATGCCTCTGTATAGGACCAAGCTCCTTCATGCCTCTCTGGCTCCAGTTTCTACCCCCAGACCACGAGTAATCCTTACCAGGATCCCTGTCTCAAGAAATATAGACAGAAACCAAAAACTGAAAGTGACTTTAATGTCTCAGGAGATGGTTCAGAGCACAGTAGGGGTATCCAAAGTCTCTGGCTCTGAGAGACAGAAGGAGAGGCAATGGTGGCCAGCCTGGGTCCTCCTCTAAAGTATATGGCACCGGCGGGGACACATTAAGTCCTTGGTAATACAACTCAAGCCTGGTCGGCAGGGGCAGACAATGTTGGTGGCTCCTTTGGTCTGCAGGGAGGAGGTAAGAGGAGTCACCAAGGTGCAGGGAGGAAGACACCTAAAGTTCTTGGGTAGCAGGAATAAGAATACACATGTTGGCGTGAAACAGAATGAAGGCTTTTCTTCCGAGTCACCTCTGGGTGGAATTTTACTGCCAACCAGTTCTAAGCTGACTCTACAGCACTGTCCTGATGAAGTGAATAAGCTTCTCTGGCTCACTTTCCTCATTTGTCAAATGGGGATAATTATAGAACTTCCACTCCTCAGTTATCAACATAATTAGGTTTCAAGACCAGGTTGTTACGTGAAAATCAGCATTATGTGAAAATTAAGGATAGCTACACTGGATCACAAACACATCATTATGTAACTGCCACATGATCTCATTATATAACCGCCAAGTCACTGAGCATCACAGCCCAATCAGGTTGACACATAGCCTTAGCCATCACATCCCACCTCACACCCTGGCATTCATCATTGCCAGGAGTATGTTGCTAAGGTGTAAAATAGTCAGATAATATTCTTTTACTATTGTTATAAATATGACATGTTGGATAATGAGATTGTCAATAAGCAAGGTGTAGGGGTACTAGCGGCACAGGGTTTTTGTGAGAATTAAAGGAGATAAAGTAGATCAAGGACCCATAATAAAAATAAAGCACTTAGTTGCGGAAAGGTCAGCAGTTGAACCAGAGGCTCCAAAGGCAAAAAGATGTAGTAGCAGTCTGCTTCCATAAAGATTGTTGTTGTTGTTGTTTAGTGCCATCGAGTTGGTTTTGACTCATAGTAACCCTGTATAGGGTTTCCAAGGATCAGCTGGTGAACTTAAACCACTGTCCTTGCCGTTCAAACTGACTTTGTAGTCCAGCCTATTAACCCACAGCACCACACCCATAAACATTACAGACTTGGAAATCCTATGGGACAGTTCTTCCCTGTCTTATAGGGTTACGATGAGTCAGAATCAATGACAATTTTCCTGGCCACTTCAAGCTGGCTCCTTAAGGCATTATCAGTTCTCCAGGCAGGCTCATCCCCCTTAGAAAGGTTTGGGCTCAGGGCCAGAAGAGAGAGAAGAGGAACAAAACATATTGTGCCTTCTGCTCCCTGCATTACACAGCTAATAACAACCATGCTTGATTGCACACAGCTAATCGCCTGGAACAACCTGGTGATGAAAGTGCATTAGCCCCATTGTACAGATAAGAAACTAAAGCCCAGAGAGCAGAGTGATCTGTCTAGGGGCACACAGACAGCATTTCAACTCAAGTCCAACTCCAAAGCTGTGATCCTGTTTTCTCAGTGCTATGCTTCTCTCAGGAACTCCTGATATGGCACTGTAGGATCAGCAGTGGACTGCGAACCACAAGGCTGGGGACTCAAACTCACCAACTGCTTCTTAGAAACCCTATACAGGGTCACTATGGCTATGAGTTGGAAATGACTCAGTAATTAATAACAACAATGTGCTTCTCTCAAGAAACTAGGTCTTTGTGACAGAGAGGTGGAATTGGTAGTGGGAAGAAGGTATTTCTCCACCTGTGGTGCTGTAGATTAATGGACTACAAGGTTGGACCACAAGGTCAATGAGTGGTTCAAGCTCGCCTGCTGCTCCTCAGAAACCCTATAGATGGCGACTATGAGTCAGAACTGACTCAATGGCACCTAACAACAACCACCTTGCCTTAGTAATGATAGAATAGAGAGATTCACCCACTCGACAAACATTTCTTGAGCAACTACTATGTGGTGTAGGGATTCAAAGATGAGTAAGACACCATCACTGCTCTTGAAGAGCTCCAACCAGTAGAGAAGGCAAACAGAAACTATGGCTGAAGTTATGAGCCAAGGATGTGAGAGCTGTGAGGGGTACCTGGAGCTGAGTCTTACAGGAGTTTGCCAGGTAGAGAAAGCGGTGAGCACTTTGGTAGAGGGGACACACAAAATCAGGTGGAACTTGTGTCTCCTTTTACTTCCCGTACCCTGCTTGCCAGAAGCCTCACCTGGGGCAGGCAGACCATGGTATACCCGGCCTTAGGTGCACAGTAGGAGCCACCATTGTCTAAGTTGATAAGACAGCAGTCACTTTGGCAGTTAGAGTGGTGGGAGCACTTGGCCCCGTTGATCTGTGGGGACAGGAAGGATCTCTGTTAGCCTGGGGACAGCTCCCAGGGTTACCAGCTCTCTGTGTATTTGCATGGTGGTGGAGGTTGTTTCCCAGCATTGCCAAAGGCCCCTAAAAGTCCAGGAGGGAAAATTTGAACCGGTCACCCCCAAGCTCCAGCCTCTCTGCATGCCATTTTCTGCCCCCACCACTTCCTCCATCAGCAGGGCTCAGTGGAGAGGAAGGGTCGGGCTTAGCACTTTCCCTTTGTCTCCCCTTTCCTGGGGCCCTTTCACTTCCGTGGGTCCCAAAGTGTGTCCTGTGGTGAGTAAGGAGGCTCCGTGGTTGCTGTTAATGCCAGAGAGTAGATTTTCAACGTGGCAACACTATATACCAGATTAGAACTGCCCCATAGGGTTTTCAAAGCTTTATGAAACAGATCATGGGGAGGGGGTGGAAGGCAGAAAGGGAGGGAGTGAAGAATAAGAAGGAACTTCTGTGTCTACAGGGCCCCTGGCAGTGGGTGTGAGAAGACGGGAAAGCTAGGCCAGGTATTGGGGTGGGAGTGGGGGGTTGGCTGGGAAGACTTCAGGGATGATAAGAGGGTCCAGGATTGGAGGAGGGCACTGGCTGGGAGGAGTTTGTGTCAGGATAGAGCTCGGAGAGAGGGGTGGGTCTTGATCATAAGGACATTTTCATCTTCCGAGCCACCGGGGAAAGCAGGGTTTTGAAGTCTTTTGGGAACCCTTCAAGACTTCTGGGACCAAATCCCCAATTCAAGGTGGTTTCTAACCCTGGTGCCTCCCTCCAAACCCTCTCCCCCACTCCCCACTCCCGTACCTTTGACTTTAACTTAACAGAGCTGCCTCTGCCACCAGCTCTCTACCTCGAATGACAATGTAAGGTTCCCTAAACGCTCTTTCCACTCACCTTCATTACGCTACTTCCGATGTGGAGGGGCTCGCCCCAGCAGGGGAGCAGGACCCCCGCGAGGAAGGCAAAGGCTGTGACCATGGGTCTGGGTGGCGATCAGGTGAGGCTCCTGAGGGACCACGGAATGAACTCTTTGGCCCTGGCCTCCAAACCCTCCGACCCTGGGCCCGCCCCTGGGGTGTGGAAGGAGTTAATAGGTCACAAGCGATCCCGCCCCGACGGGGAGGGTCTTCCAGTTCCCTGGCTCTGGAGGGAAAGCAGGACAGCAGGTAGAAAATAATATTTTATTTTAACAATCACGCAAGTCTGGGCGCTGGCGACGGTGGGCCACTAGCCGGCCCCCTCGGTCCCTTGGAGGCCGGGCTGCCAGCCATCCACCCGCGCGCGCCGCAGAGGCTCTGAAAGGGTGCTTTGCGGTTACGTGGTCAGAGCTGGAAAGTTCATTGTGCAGCGGTCTATACCAGAAGTCCGCGTAACGTTTCTCCCACTCGGCCTTCACATCAGCCAGACCATCAGCGAACGGACGTTAGTGCCGCCGTCCGCGCTCTTCTCCATCCTCCATCAGGGGCTGCAGTGTGTGGCGGTCCAGCTCATCATCAACAAGGATCACACGGTGTACGACGCCGGCCCATCCAGTTACTGTTGCTGGCTGACGCGGTGATGTTAGACGTGGGGGTGCAGACGAGGCAGCGGGGCTTCGGAGAGAAGCTGGTCCAACAGCAGACCAGCCTCTCCTGTATGTTTGTCCCAGCAAAACACACCAAAGAACTAGAGGTCAAAACGGGGCAAATGCAAGAAATAAATAATCACTATAAACCAATGGAAATCGGTTAAGTCGAGATCCCACCCAAAAAAGCCACCCTGTTTTGAGGTGTTCATCTGTGCCTGGATCCTTGTCAGTAACCTCCTTACCTGGGGACTGGAGACTCTACCCAGGATAAGGATCCTCAATGAGAACAGCAATGGATCCTCCACCCAGGTGATGATGAGACGCTGTATACTGGAAGGGGGCCATGACGTGCCCAGTAACAAGGGTATGGCCTGCTGGATTGGAATGGCGACTGAACACTCCTGGCTACAGGTTCCTACGATGGCTTTGCCAGGATATGAACAGAAGACAGCAATCTAGCCAGCATCTTGTTGTTGTTAAGTGCCATTGAGTCGATTCCAACCCATAGCGACACTGTATAGGGTTTCCAAAGAGCAGCTGGTGAGCTTGAACCACCGAACTTGCAATTCGAACGACTTTGAAGTCTGACGCATTAGCCCACAGTGCCACAACCAGGAAAGCTCCATATCATCAACCAAAAGAAGGCCAGGGACCTACTGTGGAACAGACTATCAATTGCTCATATGCGAGCTCAGGCTGAAGCTGAAGAAAATTAAAACAAGTCCACCAGAGGCAAAATATGACTTTGACCATATCCCACCTGAATTTAGAGATCATCAGAAGTACAGATTTGATGTATTAGACACTAAAGACCGAACACCAGAAGAGTTGTGGAATAACACTGAAAACATCATACAGGAAGAAGGCAAAAGGTCATTAAGAAGACAAGAAAGAAGGAAAAATCCAAAATGGATGTAAGAAGAGATGCTGAAACTTGCTCTCCAGTGCAGACATGCTAAAGCAAATGGAAGAAATGAGGAGGTATAAGATTTGAACAGAAAATTTCAAAGGTCAGCTCAAAAAGACAAAGTCATATACTATAAATAAATGTGCAAAGACCTGGAGTTGGAAAACCAAAAGGGAAGAACACGCTCAGCATTCAGCCAGCACCTTAGGCCAACACAAAGGCCCCATGTTGACCTTGAAATGGAACAAAAAGGGAACTTACATTCTGAGTGCTGGCATAGACAAAGCAACAATAATTTGGGATGCCCCCGCTCTGGATGAAGAGTGGCAGAGCACACACTATCTTTGCCTCCTGTAGCACAGAGATGTGTATTCACGTCTGCAGACTTGGCTGCAACCACCAGTCAAAACCTTCCAAGGGTACACATATGAGGATCCATCCGGACTGCTGCTTGCATGCTGTTCCGATGACATGATGTTAATGATCTGGAGTATAAAGCTGGACATGTGTGTCCGTGACCTTCAGGCTCACAGCAAAGAGATCTACACCATCAAGTGGAGACCCACCGAGCCAGCTACCGGCAACCTCAACTCCAGCATCATGCTCGAAAGTGCATCCTTTGATTCTACAGTTCAGCTGTGGGAAGTGGAGCAAGGCGTCTGCATCCACATATGCACGAAGCATCTGTCTACAGTGTAGCTTTTAGCCCTGACAGGAAATATTTGGCCAGTGACTCCTTCAACAAGTGCGTTCATATCTGGGCTACTCAGAGTAGAAGCCTCAGGTACAGCTACTGGGGCACTGTTGGTATCTTTGAGGTGTTCTGGAATGTGCACGGGGACAAAGTGGGCGTCAGTGCATCCAGTGGCTCTGTGTGTGTTTTAGATCTTCAGAAGTGAGCACAGATTGTTACCCAACAGAGTTTTAATGACCCAGCAGTGTGGGGTGGCTGCACACTTACAACACAATTCTGACAGCTCCCAAACTGTACAAATGTGACTTACTTTGAAATCACCGTGTCCCTGGCCACAGGAGTCTATATTGTTTTGTAGCCATCATCAAGAAGTTTCGAAATCAACAACAAAACCAAAAAACAGCTCACATTCCTATCACAGGGGAAAGGATGGCATCTCCAGCTAGGACGATTGCTCAGCATAGACAACTCAAAGCCACTAGTCATGCACACACGGTTTCGTTTCAATCAGGAACAGACTCCGGAAAGCAGAAAGGAAGGGAAAAACAACCAACCGTGTGAAAACAAACAAACAACACATGCAAAATGCTGTGATAAACCGTAAGGGGGAGATTCCTCCTCCTTGAGGAGTATTTGTTTGATTGTTTTTCCCTTGCAATTTGGACACTATAGTTGTTCCCACAAAAGATGTTCCAAACCAGGAAGAAAAAAAAAAATCACACAAAAGTTACTTGTATGCTGAAAGGAAAATAACTTCCTTCTTGATATCCTAACTCATCCTTCGGCTGTTTAGTTGTACCAAACTTTCCCTGGTTCTCTTCCTCATATCTTTCAAGAAACTCAGCCTTCTCTCCTCCCTAGCCCCCCTCCCTGTTTCTCATACTCTTCCCAGGCCCAGTCTACTCAATTGTAAGAATCAGGTGGTAGGACAAGATTTCTTACAGACCTTAAGATTCTACATGTATTCACTGTATGAAAGTCCTGAAGTATGGGGGCAAAATGGCACTGCAGAGCTGGGAAACTCACGAGTGGAGATTATTCCCCAATCAGTGGAACTGGGGAGAAGAAGGTCTCTATGGCGCTATAGCATAAGCACTAGACTGCTAACCACAAGGCCAGCAGTTCAAACCCACCAGCCGCTCCTCAGGTCCCTATAAGTCAGAGCCACTTAACAACAACAATAGTGTCTTCCTCAAAATTTCACTCTAGAGGACCACTCCCCACTCCCAACACTTCACCTGCCTCTACTTTTAAAACTTTGCTCTCAGGAAACTATTCTTAGTGGCCTATCTGAATTATTTTCTACAAGACTAACAGCCCCTGCTGTACCCAAAGGGCCTTTTTGTCCATTGTCTCAATTAGCCCTCCTTGTAGTAGAGGTCACTAGTGGCTCAAACAATTTGCGCTTGACTGCTAACCAAAAAGTTAGGGGTTTGAAACCACGCAGCAGTACCACAGAAGAAAGTCCAGGTGACCTGCTTCTGCAGAGATTATAGCCGAGAAAACCCTATGAAGCAAGTCTACTCTGTCACACACAGCTTGTCACGAATGGAATTGGTTTTTGGTTTAAGTATAAGGAACCCTGGTAGCGTAGTGGTTACGAATCTGGCTGCAAACTGCAAGGTCAGCAGTTCGAAACTACCAGCTGTTCCGCGGGAGAAAGATGAGGCTTTCTGTTCCCGTAAACATTACAGCCTCGGAAACCCTGTACAGGGTCGCTATGAGTCGGCACATGACAACAACAACAACAAATTAGATTAATAAACATTAGCCATCACAAGATACGAGGGGGCTTCAAAAAGCTCATGGAAAAATTGCATGATCTTTTCATTCCTTTATTCCATGAATTTTTTGAATTCCCTTTGTATAACTCCTGGACATATCAGTGACTTATCATATTAGTGCTTTACTTATCACTCATGAAAAGTCTGGAAGGGGCTCAGAGATCTTCTTCCTTCTTGTAACCATGCCATGTGAGGACTAGCTTCCAAGGTCATTATGGAAGATGAAAGATAGAAGATGGAAGAAGCTCATGGACACTTAAGTGTCTTAGCCCTGTGTGACACACACCTCTTCTACTCACGGATCACTGACCAGAACTAGTCACATGATCTCAACCATCGGCAAGGGAGCCTTGGAATAGTTAGGAGCCATCGAGTCAGTTCCAACTCATAGCTACTCTATGTACAACAGAACGAAACACCGCCTGGTCCTGTGCCATCCTCACAATTGCTGCTCTGAGCCCATTGCTGCTGCCACTGTGCCAGTCCATGTCCTTGGGGGTCTCCCTCTTTTTCACTGACCCTCCACTTTACCAAGCATGATGTCCTTCTCCAGGGACTGATCCCTTCTGATAACATATTCAAAGTAGGAGAGAAGAAATCCCACCATCCTGACTTCTAATGAGCATTCTGGCTGTAATTGTTCTTCTGGCAGTCAATGGTATTTTTTGTGTTCTTCTCCAGCACCATAACACAAATTCATCAATTCTTCTATGGTCTCCCTTATTCATTGTCCAACTTTCACATGCATATGAAGCTAGTGAAAATATCATGGCTTGGGTCAGGCACATTTTAGTCCTCAAACTGACACCTTTGTTCTTGAACACTTTAAAGAGGTCTTGTGCAGCAGATTTGCCTAATGCAATATATCGTTTAATGTCTTAATTGCTGCTTCCATGAGTATTTATGGTGGATCCAAGCAAAATGAAGTCTTTGACAACTTCAATCTTTTCTCCATTTATCATGATGTTATTTATTGGTCCAGAGGTGAGGATTTTTTTTTTCCCTTTACATTGAAGTGTAACCCAT